TGAATCTATCTGCTATATCTTCTCGATCACACATCTAAGCTACATACTCTACAGACTAGTAGTTTTTTCTATGAGTACTCACTAATCAGAAGAACGAAATAATGTTTTGCACGACCTGATCCTCCTCAACGTTAGGGGGGGAAATGGGATGATGAGATGGTAGGTTTTAGACTTTACAAAATCAAAAACAAGAAGAAGAAGAAGAGGAAGAAGAGGAAGAAGAAGAAGAAGAAGAAGAAGAAGAAGAAGAAGAAAAGTACCGTCTGTGAGATAGTAAGTTAAATGATAATCCCTTCCGTTGACAGAAAAATTCACTTGCGGAGCTTGACCTTTTATGATATCATCAAACACGAGTGAACAATCAAGAACATTGATATCATTTAAGGTAGTCTTTGAAGATCTTCCGGTGTGGGTCTTATTAGGTATTCATCACTATAAAAATGTATTATTCCGTCAACAAAATGTTCCAAACATGATCGAGCCATAGATTCACCAAGCCGGAGGTATCCGTCTACTACAGTGCCATAAGCCAAGATACAAATTGCTGCTGTACATTTTTGAAGTCCCGAGAGATCAGACCTTCCAAGAGCATCTTTTTTTTTCGGAAGAATCGAACATCGTTGGATAGTCGATCAACAATCTTCATAAACAATGGCTTATTCATTCTAAAATGGCATCGGAATAAATTTGCTGGATATGTTGCAGATTCACTAAAGTAATCGTTCTATAACCGGGTATGGCCGCCTTCTTCCCGATCTCTTTCATTATAAGCCCGTTTTCTTTTAGACTTCTTGGCCTCTTGATTTTCTTGATTTTCAAAAGTCTGATCAAAGTATTGATCAAATTGTTGATCAAATTATTGATCAAAAGTTTCATGAATTGAATCATCAAAAGGGTTATTTGAAGAAGAAGCCATATTTGTGTTTTTTTTTTGTTTTTGTATTGGAAAATGATAACAATAGGAAACGAAAAAGAAGGAGATTGAGCAAGTTTGATCAACTGATATAGAACTGAAAGAAAGAACTAAGGAGAACGAGTGTGATAAAAAAAGAGCATATGAAGTACATATATAAATAGAACAATCATACAAAGTTTGTGGTTACTAAGATCCATTATAAATACACGGTTTCAAAATGTACATAGGAGACAAACAAAAAACTTTGGTGTCGACATATACCACAACAAGTTTGTGGACTCAAATTTACACATAGGAAAAAAAAAACAAAATAGCTTTAAGCAACAAAAACCACAACCACTCTTTAGTGTCGACATCCACCACCACCTTGGTAATACACCACTCATACCTGATACATAAAGCAACAAACACCATCACTATTGAATATCAACTAAAGATAAAGCATCAAAAAAATCAAAACAGCATATATTTAAAAAAATCTAAATAGCATATAAGGCATCAAAATAACCGAGTAAAAGACTAACCAAGCTAACGCCTTTTGATTTCAAAGATAAACATACATAGCTATAACACAAACTACTTAACAAGGGAAATAAGCTATAACTAACAAGGATTACACATCCTACTTAGACAAATAAAAACATTAAACTTAAACTAAAACAACTTCAATGATTTTTTTTTAAAAAGAGTTCTTTTCAAGACAACATCTCTTGAATGAGTTTTTTTTTAGTGCTTCTTCATACTTTGATAAGAGCTCTTTCTTGGCGATGAGGCTGTCAAGAAGTCCCACCTTCTGAATCCTCTCTTTCATTGCCATGTCTTTCTCCTTAAGCAACCACATACCTTGGAACTCTGAGAAAGCCTTGCCATCCTCCACTTTCTTCTTTACTTTAATTTTTGCAGCTTTCAACACCTGGTAGCCTGTTGCTTCCTTGGTTATCTTCACCATTGTTCTTTTCTTGTGCGACAGAAGTTGGTCAATTTGGACCCTCATCGCATCTTCTCCTTTTAGCAACGCCTTCAGCTCTTTGAACAAATTCCTCACACCACTTTTTGTCAATCCGTAGCTCCTTCCACGCATGGTCCAAGGTAAAATTTTTTTTTTTATGGTCATGTGCGAGTTTCAGCACATCATTTTCATTCATTCTAGAAGCTCTCTCCCTTGTTGCAGCCTCATAAGCACCACAGAACTTGCACACCAAGTCATTTGTTTTTTGCCATCTTGCCTTACATGTGGCTGCTTCTCTTCTTTCTCTCCCTGCAACTTTCGGAGTGGCAGCAAAGTATGCTGCTATCCTTTTCCAGAAGGCACCAGACTTCTGCTCATTGCCCACCACCAGGTCCTTTGACGTGTTTAGCCAGGTGGATATGAGAAGCACATCATCGATTGGAGTCCATCTTTCTTTCTTTGCGCTCTGCAGGGCTCTCTTCGTTGTAGCTGAAGGCTTCGGTGCATTGACTGCTGAACAGAGGGATTTGGCTTTGAGAAGAAAAGGGATCATGAAGAGGAAGTTCTTGTTGACTATTTAGAAGATCAACGAAGTTAGATGATTGAGTGAATGGATGTGAAGAAGAATAATCCATAATGAATGAAAAGAAGATCAGACGAAAAAGAAAACAGAGGAGGAGAGGATGATGCGTTGGAGTTTAAAAAAAGAAGAAAGGAAGAGAAGAAGTAAATAAAAGAGCACCGATCAAGAAGCAGATGCGTTGGAGTTTAAAGCAGAAGAAAGGAAGAGAAGAAGCAGTTTAAAGAAGAGTTGATGCGTTGGAGTTTAACTAAAGCGTTAACTACTATTGAAAACAATTGACTAGACAGTTATCAAACAAGTTGTTAGATAACTATCGACTAGAAGCTTTAACTAAAGCTATAACCTCTATTCATCACCATCAATTAACTGTTTTTTATTCCACTAAACCATTATCCTTCGTACCTAACACAGCTAAACCCTATAGATATATGCATTTATGAATATGAAAGAGAAGTGATGACATACCTCTGAGGGTTGCAATGCGAAGACAGAAAGGTTGTGGACATTGATGCACTCACAGCCGTGAGTTGGGAATCCTTGACAGCCCACACCAAGCTAACATGTTGCAAAGAAAAACACACTTGCTCAGAAATAATAAGAGATTCACCAACTAAACACAGTTCAGTTACCAAACTCAGATCATTTAGATAAAGAAGCTTTAACTATTATTAAACACTATCGACTAGACAGTTATCTACCATGTTCATAGATAATTATCTAAAGAAGCTTTAACTTCTATTCATCACCATCAATGAACTATTTGTAATACATTAAACCATTATTCTCCTACCTAAACACAGCTAAACCCTACAGACATATGCATTTATAACCTTGGAAGTGATGAGAAAACATACCTCAAAGCTAGCAATGCGCAGAGGGAAAGCTTCAAGCCCTTGATGATCCTCACAGCTGTGGCTTGGGTCTCCTTGACAGCCCACACAAAGCTCACAATTTGCAAACAACAACACACTTGCTTAGCAAAGAAATCATAAGACATTGACCACATAAAGACTCTTCACTAAACACGATTCAGTAGCAAACACACCTCATTAATAAACACACTTCATTAGCAAATAATCTTTATCAAGCAAAGTAACAACTAAACAATCTAGTACGATTACTCAAACCAAACAATGAAGAAGAAGAATATCCTTCAAATATATCAACCGGTGTGAATAGAAATCAACCTAGAGCAAACAAAAGAGATATACAAATCCAAACCAGAGATATACAAATCCGATACAGATATATACAAATCCAATTCAGAAATCAACCGACTAGACAGAACAGAACCCAGAGCAAACCCAGAACAGAATACAACTCAATCAGAATATACAAATCCAACGCAAAGCGAAACAAAAAACCCTAACAATACGGATTCACAACGCATGCAGAGTAATTTCGTATAGAAGAATCGATTCAATCAAAAGCAAAAAAAAACTTAGAGAGAAATCGATGAGAATAAAGATTACCTGGTCGGAGAAATTCACTGAGTCGCCACGGAGAAGATGACCAATGATATGAGTTCGGCTGGCCGGAAAAGAGATCTGACATCAGAGAAAAAAATCGATGAGGCTGTGAGACGGAGGACAGGATTTTCAGTCGGTGTTTTGGTCGGAGAAACGAGAAGTCAAGAATTGAGATAGCAATTTTTCTTGAATAAATTTTTGTATTTACAAAATAAAACACTGCTATTGGTACACTTTTATGTGGTGAAAGACGAAACAAAACTTCTCATACTTCTTTTTTCTTTTTTATTTTATATATATATATTTTTTATTTTTTCTTATTGTTTGTTCTCTCTCTTCTTTTCGTCTTAAACACATCCTCTCATGATAAAAAAAAACACATCATCTCTTTTTCTTTTTTTCTTTGTCTCTCTTCTTTATCTTTTTCTCATCGTTTTTGCATCCTTTTTTTTTCTCAAACCCCAGCAATTTTGACTTCTATAATTCAATTGAACATCTTCAATTGTGAAATTATGGGGGCGGAGAAGATGTAATTAAATCAACCAGAGTTACTTTTTTAGTTTTTTATAAAAAAATATTTGATCTTCACTCAACTTTGTAAAAAAAAAAAAAGTCAAATAATTTATGTTTATTATATTCTATTATTTTCTGGGTAATCTTTCACCTAACAAAGGAAGATAAATATAAGTTATGTGAATAATTTCCTTCTTCATGATATTTTTTGTTATAACCTTCGTTGGACAAACTGTCCAATTTGTCATGAAGAAGTTGTGTTATGGATAATATAACATGGACAAATTTGTGTGGATACAAAACTACTCTTTCAAACATTTGTTGAACATGTTGAATGCGTTTTATGGATAAATTAGCTAGAAATTTGTGTAAAAATGTTATCCACGGCGATATGTATATTAATTTTTTTTTGTTTCAAAGAATAACATATTTACGAAATTAGAAATCTCAGTCATTATAATTTGTCTATTCGGTGGATATAATATCATGGATATGCTGTCTAATTTGCCATGGAAAAATTGTCTAGTTTTGTAATGGATACTGTAGCATGGACAAATTTTCGTGGATACAAAACATTGTGTAAAATATTTTTATGTGTAAATTGGTTAGACATTGTGTAAAATGTTGTTCATGCTAATATGTCTATTGAAAGAATAATATATGCAGGAATTTAGCAATCACAATTCTTGTAGTTTGTATATTCTGTGGATGAAATATTGTGGACAAGCTGTCTAATTTACCATAGACAAGTATTCTAAATTGTCATAGACAGTGTAGCATGGACAAAATTGCGTGGATACAAAACTACTCTTTCAAACATTTTGTCGAACACGTTGAATGCGTTTTCTGTTCTTTCACTTTCACCATCACTAAATGACTTTTTCCATGAGATTTTGACTGAGTATCTTAATGTCGTTTATCTCTATCACTGAAATTGAGTCTTAAATTGTCTCATTTATCATCTTCCTCATTTCTTATTATTTCTTGCCTAAATTCAAACACACCAACCAATTTCTTACAAACCCATAATTATCAAACCTGAGTAATATAAAATTTAATATGTTTCTGATTTTATTGAACTCAAAAATCAAAAGAAAAAAAAGTGAAGAGGTGTCGATGATGAAGACAAGAGAAAGAGGGAAGAGAAATTGATATAGAAAAAAATTGATATAATGAGAGAATGGTAATATTGGATTTATATTAAAAGAACAGTAGAATAAGTGCCTCAATAGTAGAAAGTGTCTTTTTGTGTAAGAGTAAGTGTAGAATGTGTCTTTCTATGTAATTCACTCATTTTTCTTTGATGCTTCTTCTCTTCTATCTGTCCAATTAACAAGTGACACGTAGTTTCTAAGCATTGATTCTTCTGGGCCTTATTTAAGAATCGATATTTGAGTTTATTTTTCATTTAAATTTATTTTTTGGACTAAGCAACCCTTAAAAATGGGCTAAGCATCTCTTAATTTAAGTTTAGTATTCCTATATTCATTAAAAAGTACATATGGTAATGCGGCTGAAAGGTTTCTTACATCAGATTGTGTCTGAAGAGCAAGCTGCATTTATTCGTGGTCGAATGGTTACGGATAATATTTTGGTGGCTAATGAACTCATGCATTCTCTGAAAATCAGGAAACGTGTATCCAAGACTTATATGGCTGTGAAGACTGACATCAGTAAGGCTTATGATCGCGTTGAATGGAACTTCCTCGAGAGAACGATGCAAGCTTTCGGTTTCAGTGATACTTGGATTCAATGGGTTATGGCAACAGTCAGATCTGTCAGTTTTTCTATACTGATCAATGGAAATCCGAAGGGATTGATTCGACCTGAACGAGGATTAAGACAAGGGGATCCTCTATCCCCTTATCTGTTTATCCTTTGTGCGGATGTGCTTAGCCATTTGATCAAGATAAATGTATCACAAGGCAGAATCCGAGGTATTAAAATCGGTAATAGTTCCTCCAATTACACACCTTTTGTTTGCAGACGACTCACTGTTTTTCTGTCAAGCTAACAATCGAAATGCTCGGGCCTTAAGAAACATCTTTCAGATTTATGAACAGTGCTCCGGACAGATGATTAACGCCTCCAAATCTGTGATTACTTTTGGCTCTAGGATACCGTGTGATTTACAAAGCAGGCTGAAATTGATATTAGGAATTCCTAACCAAGGTGGTGGAGGCAAATATTTGGGATTGCCTGAACAGTTTGGCAGAAAAAGTCAGAGATGTTTAAGTATATCGTCGATGCGGTCAAGAAACAGACTTCTACTTGGAGCTCTAGACTTCTGTCCCCTGCTGGTAAGGAAGTGTTATTGAAATCTGTTGTTGTGGCTATGCCTGTGATAACACCGTATTTTGACCACTTTTATGGATTGTTTTGAAATACTTTTTCGATGTTTTTAATTGCTTTCAAGTACTTTTATTACGTTTTTTTAGTATTTGTAGTTCCAAGACTCTTTTCAGGTAACTAAGGGAAAAACTTAATAAAATGGATAGAAAACCAGATTTCAGCTCAAAGTCAAACCGTCAGAAGTTCACCCCTGATTGAAGGCCTTCTCACCGTCTGATCCAGCTCAAATTTGGAGATCTTAAAGATGGAAGTATCAGCTTTCCAGCACACTTTACAGCTTGGCAATCCAACGGTTCAATCAAAAGATACGCGAAGAGCAAGATGTCCCGTAAACCAGCCGGCAAGCATTTCCACCCGCGGCCAACAGACCAATCCCCGCGGTCACAACCGCCGCGACCGCGACCAGCCACCTGTTTCCCGCGGTCACAGCCATCCCGACCGCGACCAACTACCTCCGAGCCCGAAGGCCCATTTCTGAAGCCCAAAATGATTCCCTCATTTGGAGAAACCCTAAGTGATGCCCAAAGATGTCTTGAGCACTATAAATACATGTTTTAGAAACCCTAATTCGTATACTTTCATATGTTCTTATTGTTTAGAATACTTTTTAAGTTTTAGGTTTTAAGGAGAGAGAGATTTGTCTCTTGAACCCTTGTTCTTTCTTTTTCAATTTCGGTTTCTATTCTACTTTTTAATACTATGTTTTTGATTTCGTTCATCATGTCTGAGTAGTTTTATTGTTGGGATTAAGAGATTTTCGATGGGGATTTATATGTTCGATGAGGATTCCATGAGCTTTTGAGCCGAATCTTAGAACTTTTTCTTCTGAATTCGTTTTTACAGCATGAGAGTATCATCATGAACTACAATCTGATCCAGATGCTTGGTGACACGAAAGTGTTCATCCGGTGTCAGATCTAGTTTGGGAGAGCTAAACAAACATAGGAGTGGAAACCTATCTATGGGCGATTTGTGAATGCTGACGAGTCTTAAACATAATGCATCTCTTATTTTCCAGGGCCAGAGTGGAAACCTACTGGTCAGGGTTGAGAGAGATAGTTGTCTATGATCACTACAGTGGCGTATTCATACGTCCGTGACTCCAGTTCGAAAAGTTTAAGCTAAGATCTTATCAATTTTACTCTCTAGCAATGTTTTGAATCGTTCGTACCCCTGAGAAAACTTCCTTGAACCCCAACGCTTTCTTCCTTATAGATTCACACCGTTTTTATTTCAAGCTTTAGTTCAATATTCTCATTTCTTTTTAATCGATTTTCATTTAAGCAATTATATTAGCCGTTTTCCCGTTTTTACCCGTTTTCGTTAAGTTTAGTTATTAGGTCATTTTAATTACAGTATTTTCTCTTTAAGATTCGTTTTTACATTTTAAACACACCACCAAAACCCCCACAAAACCGTTTGGTTCTAGACTTCCTTACTTTATATTTCTTTCGAAGGCTTTTGCAAGAAAGATCCTCCTTCTCTGTGGATTCGATCCCTAAGTACTACAATTGATCAGCTGTACACTTGCGGCTATTGATTTCATTTAGGGTAAAACTTGACAACCCTCACGACAGCACACATCAAGTTTTTGGCGCCGTTGCCGGGGAAGGCACGCGTTTTCTTTTCCGCAAAACCCCAAGAAAGGTTGGTAAATCGACTCTAGAACCCCATTTTCTGCATATTTCCATTTTTCGGTTATTTTGTTTCCATTTCAGAAGATATGAATCCTATAAATCGAAATACACACTATGAGGAAGGTTTCTATAACACTCCTCAAGCCACCAGACGCAGAGAGAAGCAGTACTTACGCGATCTCTACGAAGAAATTCGAACCGAAGACTACAGAACGTTCCAGAACGAGCCCTACGTATCTCCAATGGCTAACCCTAGATACCCTATGCATCGCCTACCTCACTAGGTTCTCCACCGAGATGAGAACGTCCAGCTCAGCAACAGATTGATTCAGATCGAAGGCGTGATCAGGCAGTTCATAGAAGCTCAAGCAACCGCTAAAGCTGCACTAAACGAAAGGATTGACGGGATATCGAAACTTTTCAATGAGAAGATCGATAACCTAGCCTCACAAGTCAATTCAATAGAAGAACGAGCAACCAACAAGGACGCAGCTATGATCGCTAACAGGTTCAACAGCATGGAGGAAGAGCAAGCAAAGCACACCTATGAGCTTCGCAACACCAAAAAAAAAGTCATGGACCTGGATTTCAAACTTGATGATGTGGGCAAAGCCCTAAACAAAGCTAAGAACGAGTCTTATGACTTTACAGTCGAAGTTTCAGAGAAGGTTTACAAAGTCATTGACAAAAC